CCAGCGCTGCCCCCCCCAGCTGCGGCACCTGAAGCCCCTTAAAACACCCGCGCCCCTGCCCCGTGGCCCAGCACCCCAGGGGTTCCCGTAGCCACCGCCCTCCCGGCCCCCGGGGCCGAGCCGGGACAGCTGGCACCCACCGGTGCCCGGGGCAGGATGAGGGCTCTCCGGCTCCTGCTCCGGGCTGGGGAGTCCCCTGGGACCGGGGGTACAGACTCAGCCCAAGGCGTGAGCTGTTGGGCAGCTGGTGATGCCCCACGGGAGCTCCCAAAGCTGGAGGAAGGCGGAACAGGGACCCCAAAAGGAACCGCTTAAGCAGCTTTTCGGGGAGCTCGTTCTCTCTGTGCAATTAAGGGGAGGGGGTGGGAAACGATGGTCTTCAGCAAAATAAAAAAAAAACAAACCAGCTCGGGCGCACAGAGCTGCCGCCCGTCCAGCACTGCCCTCTCCACCCCGGTCCCAAAGGTGCCGGGATTCGTCTGCACCCCCTCGCCTGGCGCTCGGCACACAGCACCTCCGGCACGACTGCAGGGAACCGGGCGGGCTCCAGGGGACAGCGTTTGGCGGCGGGGACCAGCAGGCAGACACAGCACAGCCACGTAAGCCCCATTGCTTTGGGAAACCATCAGGTAACGGCAGTTTACTGGGTTTTTTTTTTTCACTCCCCACCATCCCCTCGCACCCAGCAGCTCTGGGTGGGAAGGAGCCAGCTCCTGCCGAAGGGCATGGCTGGCCCTGCCGGGTGGGGACAGGGGCCGGCCGCTCTCCCACCTTCTCACCAGCTCCAGGCGGCAGGTTCTTGCTCGCGGGGAGCAGGCACGGTGATGAACGCATGCAGAACTGACGCCTCGACGTACGGGAGACAACAGGGACCCACGCTGTCGCTGTGGCCGGCAGCGGTTTTGGTCATCGAAAAAAATGTGTCTCCATAAAACCTGCTCTGAGCTGTTCAGGATCGGTGACCCTCGGCGACCAGGGTACAAAACCAAGCCCTTTCGGTGATGGGCGAGAGGAAGGACCCGCTGCGTCACTGCTGCTGGTCCCTGGGGGCTGCTGAAACCCCTCCCCGCCTGCAGCGGGTTTGCGTCTCCTGCATCCCCTCTGAGTTTCCCCTGCCGTGTTTTAAGTACACCCACCAGGCAAGGCCACCGCTGCCACCGCCGTTATGAGGGCACAGGACCCTGCAGAAGGATGGCGCAGGGGGGCCGCGGCACCCAGCATCCCACGCCCGGGGCAGCGAGCCCCTCGTTTTAGCCTCTACTCCCACGAGGCCTCTCGCTGGCAGATGGTTTCAGTGAGATTTGAGGTTACGGCTGACTCCTGCGCTGCGTAAAACTGCAGGTTAAATCAAGGGCCAGGCAGCAGCAGGCAGCGCTGCCCACGATGGCTCACCCGGACCGGAGACCCC